TCCAGTTCAGCTGTTCCTTGTTGAGACATCTGTGTTGTGACCGGAAGCAAATGGGAGACCATCAGAAAGCCCGCCGTTCAACGTGGACACTGTTGAAAACATCTCCCATGGGCAGCAGGCATGATTCTTATTTTGTTGCTCAGAGGATGGTTCTGGGGCTTCTTGTTTTAAGATGGACTCAAGTCCAATGCAATTCACTTTCTAAGGTCTTATTTATTTATTTTCCAGAGAGAGAGAGAGAGAGAGCGCACAAACAAGGGGAGTAGCAGGCAGAGGGAGAAGCAGGCTCCCCACTGAGCAGGGAGCCTGACTTTGGACTCCACCCCAAGACCCTGGGATCATGACCCAAGCCAAAGGCACACCCTTAACCGACGGAACCATCCAAGCATCCTTGAAATTCATTTTCTTAAAAAAACGCCACTTTCGTGTGATGCGATCCCACCACCCTCTTAGAGGAACAGCTGTTGGTGTCTGCAGCGGGCCATGCGTGTGTAAGATAAGTTATCTACTGACAAGGTTACCGAGGCTTTTTGTACTCTCTGATAAGACAGTTGCTACAGTTTTCCCCGGCACCCAGCATTCTGTATTTCCCTGAAAAGAGCCAGGTGTTGAATTAAGGATGGAATAACAAACACTGGGATTTGCTTTTAAGTCCACCTACCTCTGTGGAAGTGGGTTCTCTTAAGAGGTTTACAAGGAATTTTTGACATGAGCCTCTTCTGAGGAAGATAAAGAACTCAGACTTGTTTGATAATCTATCCCTCCTGTGAATACGCATACGCAGCCGTCTTAAATTTGTTCTTACTGAGGCAGGACAAACACGTTATAGTGTGCTTAAGTGATTTAGCTGTTTCTCCATAACCTTAATTCTCTTGGAACTATGAAAACTGCTTTGCAGTGAGGTTGTCCGGTAGCAAATATTCCACATACTTTCTTGTATTGGACTCATATCGGCATCCAGAGTTTTCTCAGTTTTGTCGGTCATTATATCAGCTTCCCAAATGAAGACTCATCCTTTGTGTTCCTCTAGTAGTGGGATGAGTTGGCGATGACAGTGTGCCGTCTCTTGAGTCCCCGAAGGGATCAACAATACAAGTGTTCATGAGCTGTCTGCCCTGTGGGGTAAGGTCCCCGGTCCAGAAACAGAGCATTTGCGTGTCTGTGTGTGTGTGTGCGCCTATTTGCCTGCCGTATTTTGAAGTAAGCTTATTAACTACGGACCATACACCTTTATACTTGACTTGAATAAACTGAATAAACAAAGTCCAGGCAAGTCTGAGTATTTGCAGTGATAGCAAATACAAATTAAGCTATCCTATAGTGTGTGAGTGCTTATCACACAGGCGCTCAGATGGATTTCGGCATCTTAAAAGACAAAATAAAAAAAAATTAAAAGTACAAAATTAAAAAAACAAAAAACAAATCCTGGCATCTTCATGTTAGTTAAAGTGAATTTGTGTATGTGAAGAACACAGTAAATTCTATATGTATGAGTGGCGTTACTGTTACTTTGGTTTCGAAGATGTTATGTCCTTCAGTCATTAAATACACATGGGGCTGGGGCAGAGCGGGGGTACAGACTATGACTGTGGCCGCATGCGGTAACTATTTTTAAATAAGAAAGATAAGTTCCCTGCATCTACTACCTTCACTTTACTCATTTAATAGTTATTAAAAAGTAAAATAAATAAAATATAACGTAATGTAATAAATGTATAAAAATACGTTATATAAAGTGGTGCCTGAGTGGCTAAGTCAGGTAAGCATCAAACTCTTGATTTTGGCTCAGGTCATGATCTCAGGGTCCTGCAATCCAGCTCTGCATTGGGCTCTGTGTTCAGTGAGGTTTCTGCTCGAGCTTCTCTCTCTCCCTTTCCCTCTGCTGTGCACCCCCACCCCCAATCATGTATGCACTCTCTCAAAAACAAAAAAACAAAAACCAAAAACCAAAAAACTCTCTATATAATAAAGATAATAACTAATTATTTCCCTGATACTCCCACTAGTGTTGTACTGTTGACTGTTTGGGGGAAGACAGTTGGTGGAAAAAGTTGCCAGAAAATGGCTTCTCTTCCAGCAAATTCCTGTGGATGCAGGAACCCATTGTCTGCTTCTATCTTTTGTAACAGAACTGACATCCTTTCTTGATTAAATAGACTCAGGTCTGAAAGTAAATAGCGTAGACAAAAGGGTGAGAGATAAGGGTGTCTGTGTGCATGCATGTGTACACACATGTGTGCACGTGCACGCATGTTGGGGGGAGGACGATTGCCAAGTATGAGGGAAGTGCCTGCAGGTTTACGTGTTTCCACTGGCAGTTGCTGCCTTAAGCATGTCTCTTCCTGTCCACGTAAGACATGTTGGTTTTTTGAAAATGTGGGCAGGGATGAGATCTGCCATCCATGAGCACAGCAACGGCTCCATGTGAATTCAGTTCCGGTGACCTTCTGGAAATTGGCACTGGTCACCTTTTATCTGCCTTCACCCCTCTCACTGTGTGTGTGTTTTGCTGCTTCCTTCCCTGACAGATTCATGTCTTCTTCTAGGGAAAAGCTCCTTAGGTTAGTGTGTAATGGCTTCTAGAAGAGTTCTCTTGTCTACAAAAATCTAATTGTCTTAGCAAGCAAGTCTGTGTTTTATATTGTATCAAGAAGAAAGTTTGCATTTTACAGTTAATTTTTTCTCAGCTTCCAAGGGGGCTTTTCATCTCAGATATTAATCAGCAGGACTAGAAAGAAGGGAATTAAAGCAGAGACAGAAAAAAAGGAAAAAAAAACCCTACAAGATTTAATTAAAAAAAAAAAAACAAAACAACAAAACACAAACATGCAGGGTAAATATAATTTCTTTCCTGTATAATTTATATGAAAATTTATCAGCTGCTGATAGGATAAATAGCCCAAGGTAGTTTCTCCTTGGCTTATACTTTCATCACAGGTGTTTCTGCTCAAGTATAATGTAACAGTTTTCTATCTAAAGGAAAAATACTCCGGCGACCTGGGTGGCTCAGTCGGTTAAGAATCTGATTTTGGCTCTGGTTGTGGTCCCAGGGTCCTGGATCAAGTCCCACATTGGGTTCCCTACTCAGCAGGAGCTGCCTTCTCCTTCCCCTTGCTTATGCTTTCTCTCTCTCTCAGACAAATACATAAAATATATTTTTTAAAAAAAGGTCAAATACTTCAATTCCTTGGCAAGCTAAAAATGAACCCCTAAAAATCTTTGTTACTTGCATTTCCGTATTTTTGTCCATAAAAGGTAGTTCTCAAAATCAAAACCAAAATATTTACAAAGGTATCATGCGCACGTTAGACATTTTCTTTGCAAATTGCAAAATGAAGTTTCAAAGCCAGTAATAGCCGATTTGTTGCTTCCAAAATGTCTCAGCTGGAACATAAAGGCACAAACTGTTGTTACAACTTGCGTGGATCTTAAAGGTACTCCCCTGAGTGAAGAAGCCACTGGAAAAGGTACAGAACACTTCCATGTATCTAGCATTCTCAAAAATGACAAAATTACAGAGGTAGAGGAGATTAGGGGGTTAGGAAGGGGAGGGGGTTCAGGCACAGGGGCAGCCAGAGGGAGTTTCTTTGTGGTGATGGGATTTTTTTTTTTATCTTGATTGTAGTGGAGATGGTATGAACCTAGGCATGATAAAATGTCAGGGAATTCTCTACAAAAACTGTATGCAAGAACAATGACTGCATTCAAAAACTAGCCAAATCCAAGTAAGTCCTGAATTCTAGTTAATGGTAGGTCGTGTGTCAGTGTCAGGGTCCTGATGTGGGTCATGTACTATAGTTATGAAAGATGTTCCCTTTGGGGGAGACTAGGTGATGGGGACGCATGATCTCTGTCCTCTGATTGCAGCTTATGGGTCTCTAATTATTTCAAAATATAAAGTTCGAAACAAATCCCTCTGCTGAAGAAAAGATCCCAGCTACTAATTTAAACCTCCTTAGGAAGCAATTTAGTCAAAGACTGGTATCCTTTCAGGAGGCAGGCCTTTTAGTCAGAAACACAGAAGATTCTTGATTTAGCATATGCTTAGTATCCTGTTCTGCAAGGGTTACATTGTGTAGCTTAAAGTGGTTGCTCTTTCTGTGGCTTCTGTTAAACTAGTAGAATCAGGAAATCTTAGAGTGAGCAGAGATCTTACAGAGAATGTAGGTCAGACTTTGGCGTTCCACCTCTGGGTTTTTGGTATCCTCATTTGTAACAGGAGGACTTTGTCCTAGATTCTTTACTAATGTCCTGCTTAGTTCTAAACTTTAGAACCCACCACTTTGGCATAGAAACTACAGAAACAATAAGGGAAAACTGATAAATTCTGCCTCAGTATTTATTGCATGAGACAAAGGTCTCCATTTATGTCGACTGCCAATGTGGACTTACAATCTCTTTAAGACTATCTCCCATAGTATGAACACCTGGAGAGTAAATGATAAGGGCTCTACCACTTAGCTAAATTTGAGAATTTTCCAGAGGAGGGAGGATCTAGGCAGTTTTCTTGAGATGGATGTACCATTACATAGTCCTTGTACAAAATGTGTGACTTTTACCCATTTGAAAGGGGAGGTTGACTTGGTCAGTGCCTTCTTGTATGGGTCCCTGGACAGCTCATCAGATGCACTAAATTAATCCCGGGGAAACACGTGGCCCATAAAACACAAAAGCTCTGGAAGCTTTAAAAAGTAACCATTGTCATTTGGGAATAAATGAAGGTAAACACGCTCTCAACAACCAAGACAGTTTAGGCTTACTCATGCTACCACTTTTCTTCATGGAATTCTAAACACTGATTTCCTTGGGGAAACTAAGCCCACTGTAAAACCAGGCTCGGAAGCCCCCAGGGCCCTCTGACCCGCTGATAGTCCGCATATGCAACAAAGGATCTTAATTTAACATCAATTACACTTTGTCTTGTGGTACCCATTTCCCCTAAGTCTGTAAGGATTTAAGTCATAGTCTTACAAAAACAGAGCAAACACAGAAGCAGCACCTCACAGCCTTAGTGTCATTTTATTAACAAAAGGAACCCATGGGGTTCAAACCAGAGTACAAAATACAATCTTTATTTTTTTTTTTCCTGTGGGTTAAAGTGTTACATTTTTAATAATAAAAATAAAAAAACTTTCATAGTTAACTTATCAAAAACAAACCCCCTGCCTATTGAGTTTCTTATTGTGCAAAACAAAAACATAAAAATTAAAGTTCCGCCCATGGAAGGATTTTGTGTGCCAAAAGATGCACATTTTCAATTTCAAAAAATTTTGCATCAAAAAGAAAAATCTAAGGCCACAGTTTCTTTGCAAACTAAACAGAATAACAAGCAAATAGCAGCTAAATTTTTATCTTCATTCCCAAGAATTCTGTTGCAACGTAGAATTTTCTACATTCATAGAATAATTTCTTGATTATGAGAAAAGGTATGCAGTTTCAACCTACTGCTTAAAGTCAGATATACTGATACCAATTTGATAAGGCAAATCATACCTTTTACCTACTCTTTTAAGTGCTCCAAAATCAGCTTTGCTTTAATTTTGTGAGCACATTTCATGATGTCTCTGTTACAGGTGATCAAACAAACCTAGTGAAGGATTCCACTGAGTCGTTGGAAGCCAACGACTCGGCTTTCTACATGGGGTCAAATAACTAAACTTCCTTTCTTCATACGGCTCTGCTTTGCTTCTTTCCCTTTATTTTTGGTATCACAGAGATGGACAATGTCTTGACAAGGCATATAAAGCACAGCTTAGAAGTCAAGAAACAATTGAAGAGGATCTTTTTTTTTAGAGGAAAAACAAAACCGCTTAGATAACACTTAAATACACATACCTGCTTAAAAATACACAAAAACAAAGCAAAATTAAAAAAAAAAAAAAAGGCATTAAAAACCAAACCAGGAAATAAAGTTCTGTGACAATTTCAGTACCACAATTATTGGTGTACAGTTTTGCACTGTGATTTTAAATAGTGGCTTGCGATGAAAAAACTGCCTAAGATGCTTATGTGATTACAAAGAGAGGTATGTCCAGAAGGGGGAGAAATATACGTTTGCCTAATGCATGTAGAAAAATCCCTGATCAGATTGGCCAGCTAACTTCTAAATACAAAACTTAACCCTAGAGGAACTTTGATACTTGGGACTGAATATACTGACTGAAAGAAAAATCACTCGCTCTGGGGAATGAAGTATGGCATTCTGCATGGGAAGCACCAGGGTTTCTGGGTCGAACCCGTAGGACATCGAGAAAACCAAAGTACTCGGCTGGTCCAAAATCATTATCGTGGGGATCCCGCCTCCCCTCCATTCCACTTAGGGTCCAGGAACACTCTCAGCTCAGGAAACCGACAACAGATGAAAGGAGAAGTAAGGGGCCACGTTGGCACGAACAGAAGGGGCGTGGGGGATGGTAAAAACACTGCTCAGACTTCTAGCAGCAACACAATCTTGTTGGTCGGAATATCCTGAGGTTAAATGATAATAAAATATTGCACCAAAATGATAAAGAAAGAAAAAAAAAATCACAGTTTAACTGGAACTACCGAGGAACTGGAATGGGAGTAAGAGCGCACAGCACAGGGACTGCTGTCTGCGGGCGTCAGGCTCTTGGCAGGAATTCAGTTTGTCCTTTTTAAAAACCATGGTTATTTCTACCCTCTTTTGATTTTGCATTTAATTTTAAATACCCTTTGGTAGACGTATATTAACTTCCATCTGACACTAGCCGTATGGATCTCTCCCTTGGTCCACCTGCAGATTCAGTGATTCGGAAGAGGAGACTGCCATTGCCGATTAGCGGAAACTCCAAACAAGGCCCATCAGGCCTGGAGTTTTCAAAGGATTCTGATAACCCCACTAGAGGTAGGTTAAGAAAGGCTTTTGGGGTTTTTTTGGTTTTTTTTTTTTTTTTTTTTTTTTTGTTCTTTTTTCCCTGTGTAGTTATCAAGGCAGTCTGAGGACATAACCTTTTTTTTTTTCTTCCTTTTTTTCCCTTTTTTTTTTCCTACTGTGATCCTAGGTGAATAAGACATGGAGAAAATCAAACACATATCCTACCAAAGTACTTAAAGGGGGTAAAAAGTCTAGCCTTCGACAAAACGTGTTCTCATGCTGAAATTCATTTCCCCTCTGAACTGACATGCCTTTCAAGGAACCCTTTTCTCGATTTCATAATACTGTAGAGCTGATTTATAAAGTGAAACTGTGTCACCACATTAGGACCTCATCAAAGGGTTCTCCCAGGGACTTTAGTCCTATGGGACACTGTAAGAAACCACGAAGCCCCTGGATGTCAGCGTCACAATGCATCTTTAGGGCAGGCCTTTCCTGTTGTGCTGCTACCTCCTTCAAAATCAAGGCTCCCAATGAGTCTATACTTCCTTAAAGGTTGGGGTAACTTCTGTTCCACTTGGAGAAACCTTTTTAAAGTGACCCTTGCGTAGCGTTTCCACTCTCCGCACAGTCTCTTCTCTTGAGCGCAGGCACCCTTCACTTACTCAGTCACCATCAGGACTTCCGGGACGTTCTTGTCACGTTGACTTTCCACATCTGCTTCGCTGCATTAAAGGGGACACACAACCGTATCATCCGCTTGTGCAATGATCCTGTTGGCTCACTGGGAAGTTCACATATTCTTTAATTTCCATCACCTTCGATCTGGATGTTCATTTCTGTTCTTGCACTCCTCTTCTCTCCCTCTTTTCCAAAAAGGCAAGGTGGGGGAAGGAACTGATACTCGAATCTGATGATGAACACAGTGATTTCTGACATTTGTTCAGAGAATGAAGGAAACGGGCTGGGTCTCCTCAACATCAGGTGGATGTGGGTCAACCTACAGAAGGAGAGAGGACCAGGCTTACTAACCCCAGGACCCGACAAATGATCTCAGTGTCTATTTCTAATTACACGGTGGTTAGAAGCCAAGCTGCTTTGAGCCTATTAATAAGAAGTCCCAGCGGGTGACTTAAGTGCTCTGTACTCTACGGCCACAGAACACAATTTAAAGGCGATCACAGTACTCTACGGGCATGCTATCATTTACAAAGAAAATATTACAAAAGGAGGTAATTGGATCAGTGCCGGTCTATCATCACTAGAAGACTTTTTTAAGTATGTATCCCTTACTAATTAGGAATCAGCAACAGATACTTATAAAGGATTATTTCCCAAGGGCAAACTAAAAGTCTCATTTTCTTTAATTTTGCTTACCTCTGAATAAAGAGGCGGAGGCTGAAACCGGAATTCCTGTATGCAAGCGAACATGGGACAGCATGCTTCTCCCTCACAGTTAGGGGGCTGGGGGTAAGGAGGCACATGTCGAGAGAATTCCTCCTCGGACACCACATCTGCATAATTTGGTGGTGCTGCGACAAAAACAGAGTCTCAGAAATCCATGCAAAAATTCATCACATCAATCTCTTCTGAACTCTTACCAAAATAAGAAATTTAGCTAAATTTGCAAACAATGGTTTCCCCCCACCTCTAACGAGCAAGTTTTTGTGCCCATCAAGACAGAATATTCTGCTGTTGTGAAATCACTACTAAGTTACTGTATTCTACTCTTTTTTTGTTCAAAACTGTGAACTTTATTGATAAAAATATGATAATAAACTACAATTGTTCATTGACTTACTTTGCAGTTACCATCCTGCAAATTCATATTAAAACTGGGCAAATAATACTATTTATATGTACACCAAGATTAGGTAATTATAAAAACACCTTCATTAATACAAGGTGGTATAAAATTCTGTGTGAACAATTCTTTGTGCAGAACGGTCTTGTGCATTCCAAGACACATAGCATCTCCGCTTTCTGCTAATTAAAATGCCAGTTGGGCTCCAAACAACAAACACTCTCCCCTGTTTCCAAACCTCTCCTGGGGGTCACTACCATTCCTACTGAAAACTGTTGTTTTAGGCAAAACCTTCCAATAAAATTAGTTTATGATCTTTCCTGGGTCTGCAGGTCACAGGATCAACAATACTCTGGAGAATGAGCCCTTTGGTCATTTACTTTCAAATCATCCTGACATTTAAGCTGCGGCGCTTCTTGGTATAAGTGTCCACCAGTATGGATGTATCCGGGGACCTCTAGGTTGTCCTAGGTTGTATTCTACTCTTCTAAGAGGTGTAGGTTATAGTGCAGGTGAGAAAAAGAAAATCCCTGAAATGAGGCTACAGAAAATACATAGCACTGTATGCTGATTCTATCTTGTGTTGTCTTACTGTTAATAAATGGGAATCGAGCGATGAAGACTATATTCTAGGCTCTGCCATCGGCACCTCTGTGTCCAAGATAAGCTAGGCTCTCCAGGTCCCTGCCAGGAAGGCAATTTTGTAATGTCCAGTACTCAGAAGAGTCTGGAAAGCTGTGGTGGTGGGAGTCACCATCGTCTGAGCACCAGTGGTCTTACGCGGTCCTCGGGCCCTACGTGTAACACCCCACATGGAAAGAACCTCCAAGCCTCGTACCTTCGGGCTGCTCCGGCAGAGTCAGCGTCAGCCAGCTCATGTCCACACTGAACTGGCTGGCGATGCTAGAGTTTCTGCTGCCAAAACCGTGGTACGGAATTGTGCCAATCACTAAGGGCAGCTCGAGCATCAATTTTTTAGCACCAGGAATGTGAATATACACCTAACAGGTCAAAAAAAAAAAAAAAAAAAAAAAAAAAAAGAAGAAGAAGAAGAGAGAAAGGCAAAGTTCTAAGTTAGACCTCCAATTTAGTTTTTCACAGAAGCAAGATCTTTGTTGCCTGCCACCACTTCCCCAAGAAAACTGTAAATGATCGTGACCAAATAAAATGAAGAACAAACCAGATGAAGATCCCAGGAAATCCAGGGACTGCTCTGCGATGGGGAACGGTAGCCTTAACATACTTTACTGTAAGCGAGCACGGCTTACATAGTAATTATAAAAAATGAAGTCTATGTTTTCAATATAACAAAGACCCCTTAATGCGTGTTAGTTAATTCAGTTCCTTAGGGGGACGGTTTTCAATTAAGAACAAAGGCCAGTCTTCACCATTCCCGGGTCTGCTGTAATGCTGACCTACAAGGACACTTCCCCAGGTATGACATGTGCATATTCGTGAGGATACGGCAGCGAGTGCCGCATATTTTCCATTGTAAGGAGCTCTCCACTTACAGCTAAGGAATAGTCTACTCGGATAATGCAGCAATCCAGGATGGACGGAGTAACAGGTGGGATCTTCAGAGTCTTCCCATTCCACGTGTCAGTGCCCCCAGAAGCGATGTGGTTTCCTCGCACGTTGGCAACCATGTGCCGGACGGTCTTTGTTCTCCCACTTGCCAAATACGTCTGGGTTTGGAAAATAGCAGCTTTGGGAACAATTAGCCGAGAGGAACAATTCTCTATCTCTGCGTAGATTGGAATGGCTTCTCCTAAAAAGAGAACAAAAACACCTTTAGAGACTTTTCAGAAAGTTCTTACCACAGTGGAAGAGAGCCGCTAACCAATTAAAGCAAAAGTCGCCACGCGAACTTTGATGGAAAACTTGTATTGTGAATCTGCGTCAGAGATCTGAGAATTCACTGCAGATGTTGGTAGATACTGGCTTCTACTTATTGCATTATTTGCTTCTCTAATGTAGCAATAGTACGTTGCCAGTTTGAAAGATATGTAAATGACTAACATCTATAAAAATTAAGACCTAAAAATAAATGACCCAGTACTATGTTAAGTACAAAAGATCACTAACAAACTCATTAATGCCCATCTAGTTAAAATCTACCTAACAGAGGAACACAGACGTTGCATTTAAGGAACCGATGTGAAGGCATAAATGAAACAATGGGCGGAGCAGGTGACTTTCCCACCCCCATTACGTGTCCACCGTTCCACCACCTGGACCACATCCATCCCCAGTGAGCTAGAATCCTGGAGTGGTGGCCAGGCCCAGTGGACGGAATCAGATCCTTCACAAATGGTGGTTCCAGTATCCATCTGACTGTTCGGGAAGTTCCTGGTCTACACGCTCACACCCGTTTGTGCACACATCCCCGGCACGGGGTCAGAACGCCCCACAGGAGTTTCATGTCGCGACGGCGCTCTTCTGAGCAACACTGCTCCTGACATTCTTTTGCAACATCAAGTAAAATGCTGGCATTTTCCCATTCTCCCAGTTTTAGTCTTTGTCACTCAAGTGAAAGGACCGAAGTCAGAAATACCAGTAGTTTTACTGGACTCCACTCATCCAAACAAAAATACGTACATATCCATTATTTATATGAAAAACAGAAAGCCATATTATCCATGTTTTAAAACAGTCTTTACCTCATGAATTACAAAACACACTATTTAAAAATCACTTAAAAGTAGCTAATAACATGCATGACTCTTCCATTTGGACTTTCAAACATTTTGCTTACCATTACAGTATCCTTTTCTTTCAATTTTGGCACTCAGTGAGACAGGACCAGACGTGAAAAACCAACAGCCAACCATTTTCTCTTGAGTTTTCAATACAGGGGTCTTGAAAATTTCAAATAATAACATGACTTTAATTAAACCAGTAGAAAACTCACAGAACTTAAAATTACATCATTCTTTATTCAACAGTTGAGTAGAAAGGTCTTCTAGGAAACAAATCAACTTTTTCATCCTCATGGGACATATTAGGCAAAATACTTGCTAAAACATAAAGCATTAAAAAAAATCATTCTCTTTTTAGGAAAACTAAGATGAATTGTCAGACTCAAATAAGCTGATACCATCCTATTTTATCCTACAATCATTATAATTCTGGGAAATGATATGCCTTCCCTTAAGGTAATGATAAAAAATAACAGTAGAAACTATTAACATGACAGAGATGTTTTTTTCTTTTAAAGACTTTACGTGTAGGTTAAGTAAAAGAAGAAATGGTATAAAAATCAATAATCAAAATCTTCTATTTGTTTTGGCATCTAAAATAAAGAAGAAGCAAATGGCCTTTTCCTGAATTCAGAAATGCATGATTAGACAGAAGTTTCAAGTGCCCATTATTGAGACTGGTTTGGGGTCCTGTGTGAGGACAGCACAACACGCCTACAATAATGGACCCACAAAGTTACCGAACAGACCTCGCCACCTTTAGCATCTAAAATGCTCCATTTAAAAGATGCACAAACCAAAAAAGCTCACCGTAAAACCTAAAGCTGCAATTTTTCTACTTAAAAAAATTAAAGGATTAGTAGTTTCTCGTTTGGGCAAAAAAAAAAATAAAATCTCCCTAAATCCTTGGCCACAATGGTCCCATAGTTTAGAAATAGTCACCTTCCCAATTCTAAGTAGTTCTAAAAGCACAACACAGTATTGTCAATTTGCAAAGAAACAAGACAAAAACAAAACAAAAAAACCTAAGGTGTTACGTGGATGGTAACTTCCAGCTGTAACTGGAGCCTGGGCCTGGTCGGCGGGGTGCTGTCCCCAAGGGACCACGCGGCTAGGGCGTAACCAATACACCGCGCCACCCTCTCGAAGTGAACATTACAGTGAAGTCCATTCCATTTTCGAATGAAAATTGGGTGAAACACCTTTGAACTTGTTTTTTTACCCTTCTCTTTAAAAACACTGGCTAGCAAAAGAAACCCCCAGCACTAATGATACATCTTTGGAGCATCCGTATCATGATGGAAAGTTCAAATTATCCCAGTATTTTCTATGACGTTAAAAAAAAAAAAAATCATTCATTCATATTTAAATGAAGAACCATTAGGTCCTCATAGCTATCATGAAAGTACAAGGTATAATTTTATATTATTTTGATAATATGGGTTTAGATAAAAGAATCTAGCTCATTAGCTCCCATCTTGCCTATTCTGTTGTTACTTACAGCCTAATCTTTCTTATCAGCCTACAGTATTTCTGGTGATGATTAGAAGTTCAATGCTTTAATGTGGCCAAATCTGTCATAAGGAAATGATAAGAGAAAGGCTCTCCACAGCAGCTGCACGCACTTACTTAATGTTGGAAAATGACATGCAAAATGGAAGGATACATAGCATAATGGCCTGAGCCTCAATAACAGGCTGAGCTTGATTAATACTCTTCCATAATTACTGTTCCTCAACCTGCTATTATTGAAGAGTTTAGAATACCACCGCCCCGTGAATGTGGCCGCTCTGGGAAAAGTAAGCCCTCTCTGTGTGCACATTAGTGTTATTAAGCCTTATTAATGCATTTCAAGCCTGTGTAACTTTTTGGCAAAAGCAGCCCCGAACAACGGAGACATAATCAATAGTATTAACACACACAATTTGTAATTTGCCCAACCTAGAATCACACATTTATCGCGAAGGCCCACGGGTTACAAGATTCTATCAGAAAGTGACAAGACGGGCTAGCGCCGCATGGGCTTGGTGTACACAGCAGTACTGATGGAAGCGAGGAAGGGAGGGGAGGAGGAAGGGGAGGAGGAAGACTCACTAGTAACGCTGGTGCGTTGACATCGATGTGACTAACAACCTGGAGCTCCCGCTTCACACTCTGGTCAGGTACCTTGGGTCTTTCCAAAACTGCCCTCACACAGTACTGAATGCTTCCGTATTTCCCGGTGAATGAGGTGACTAAAGGTCTGAAACAAACCGAAGAGGTTAATTGAGAAGTTTATCTTTCAGTGAAACACTACTGGAGAAACACCTTTAAAGTGTTGGTTTGGGTTAAAAAAAAATAAGAAGAATGTGAACAGGGGAAGTCTGTGAGGGGTTATTCAAGATCAATGGGCATCGCTGAGTTTCAGAGATACTCTGCACCCTCCCCTCGGGACTGGCGTATTGCAGAGAAAGAGAATCATAAAAGTAGTATTGTTTCACTTACTCAGATGGAAGTTGAAAGCTAAATGGAAATTCATGTTTTCCAGGCTGTAGTAAGAGGATGCCTTCACCTAAAAAAGAAAATACATTTTTAACTGAGGTTCCTCTTAGATCAAGAATTTTCACAACTTAAGTCCTATTTTTTTAAAGGAAGGTTTCCCCTGGAGTATCCAGGATACTCCAAAAAGTACATTAATCTCTAAGATTTAGAGAATTAGAATGTCAATCAGTTTCTACCAAGTTTCATTAATTTCAAACCATATATATACATGCATACAGCTTCCACCTTTAGAGAGACCAATCACACAAGTATCAGAACCCAGAGGTCACATGTACATACACATCATGTATATACATGCACATATGTATACATGGACACACAAGTATACCTGTAACATGTGGGTGCGTGTACACATACACATTTGTTTGCCCACTCATAAACTAGCACAAGTGTCCCAACATTATATTATAAACACACACCAATGCTATTACACTAATAGTATATGTTATAGTATACTATTATACTAATACGAAATACCAATATTAAAATGGATTGAGGGGCGCCTGGGTGGCTCAGTGGGTTAAAGCCTCTGCCTTCGGCTCAGGTCATGATCCCAGGGTCCTGGGATCGAGCCCCGCATCGGGCTCTCTGCTCAGCAGGGAGCCTGCTTCCCTTCCTCTCTCTGCCTGCCTCTCTGCCTACCTGTGATCTCTGTCTGTCAAATAAATAAATAAAATCTTAAAAAAAAAAATGGATTGAAAGCTGATTTAGCAAAAAATGCATCTATTTATTTCGGGTGTACCATAAAAATCTGATTCTATATTCCTTAGGCAAAAATGCAAAACGAAAGTGAAAAATTTCCTTAGGATATCGTGAAGATTGAGTATAATTCCAAACAGCCAAACCAACAGGACAACTTACGAGGTAAGGGTCATGCATTTACACTTAAGCTCTACCAATTGATAGGTGGTTAGTTAATTGGTGGTTAAGTCAACATATAGAGCAGGGTCTGCCAAGCACAGCCATGACTCCTCCCTCCCAGTCTGGGCCTGGGTCAGCCAGCTGGGTTTTCTCTCACGCAGAGGCTTAGCCCCGCTTGTCAAGGCCAAGCTGCAGGGGGCAGATGGACCCTGGGAGGCCAGGGCGCTGCTGGAGTTCCCGTGAACACACAAACAACTGGCATCATTCAGATCCAAAGTCAACTCCAGGCTGTCACGTGGTTCAGACAGCTCTGCTGAGATACTTAGAAACTTCCCCTTCACTTTATGCTCATCAATTCAAGTTCTGAACTAAACCCCCTCATGAAGGGTGGCACGATTCAGAGGAAGAAAGTGCAACAGAGATGAGAACTTTCTTCAAGATTTGCCTGGTCAGTTGATACTAAAAACAGAGCTTCCTACTGTATCCGTTCATTCAAAAAAGAGAGAGACATTTAACGGGCTGGTAAAATGGAGTATTTTTTCACTTACTAGAAACAATTAACATTTTAACCTTGTACTTTCAGAAAAGAGGAATGCATTATTGGCCCATTTAGTCTTCTGAATCTGTCCCCAATTTTCAGCATGGAATATATTAGGGGGAATAAAAGTAAGGTATTTACCACTGAAAGGTCATTCAAATAAGAAACACAGCACAAGTAGGGGACTTGGAGGCAAAGTGAACAAGGGACAGGGACATGAGGCCCTGTTCAACCACAGTGATGAAGGTGGTCCCCAGGGCTCAGCGGTGCCCAGAACTGTCCTCCCAGTGAGACTCAGCACTGTTACTGCTGTGCTAGAGAGTAAAAGGCTCCAGGCAGTCCCGATGAGAGCTGGACTAAAGTTCTAAGTTACAATCCTTAGACTACGGAATATGACAAGCCGTGTCCTTTACAATGTTTAGAAATGTGGGTTTCATGTGAGTTCAAACCTCACAGCGCTTAGACAGCAGGCATGGTGGATACAAAGATGAGTAAGGTCAATCCTCAGACAGACCACAGGAGGAGAGGCTACAGACACACACACACACAGTAATGAGCACAGAGTGCAGGAGCCCCGGGAGGGGACGGTACCTGCCCTGCACCTGAGAGCTAGCACGGAGAGGCGCAGGAGGGAGTTTCAGAGGAAGGGAACAGCATGAGGCTGTGCACAGTGGGCATGTGTGGAGAAGAGCATTACTTGGGCTACCGAGAGAGAGAAAATTCTCTTATCATAGAGAATACAAATGAACACAGGAACTAGAACATTTAAAACAAGACTTTCAATCACCTCCATACATAAATAGGAACACAAATGGAGAAAGTTGATAAACCTAGCTTATGGGATTTGGAAACAAATCTTAGTTTTCTTCCTTTCTCCTATGACTATTATTTTTTTGTTAAAAGTTTCACAAGCTGAATCACGTGCCCATTTCCGCCTCTGTTCTCATGATTCAGTGCTTCTGCCTTATACACTGAGGACTACAGTGTCACAGAGAGGCATTCCAGTCACCAATGTTCTTACGGCCTGAGCTCCCCACTCAGGGCACTAAGTGGGAGCTTAGAGCATCATTACAGAGTCAGAGACTTGGGCTTAGCAAGGTTCAGGGACTCCCACAAGGTCATACTGCTGGTGGGTGACCAAGTAAAACCAATTCTCTGTTCTGTCTTGTCTTTTTACCATAATTCCTCAATTATTAAAAAAAAAACATGAAGAAAATCAATCACAATGATAGGAAGTAGATTAGATTAACAGTGCCAAACAGTTACCTAGGGAGGTTTCCTGAAAATAGAGCTCATAGACACATTTTCCAAAAATCTAGATTTCTAAAAATCTCTTCGGGTGACTGAAATTCAGCTAGTTTTTGTAAAACAAATGACCCTGAGAATCTACAATTATGTAAAGTTGCTAACTTCTTCCAAGCTATAGATATTACGAGTGTCCTTTTTTTTTTTTCTCATGAGATCCCCTAAAGCAAACTATGATTTTTTTAAATAAAACAATTTTTGCCGATATTTGGTATGATATCTTTTGAGAAAACAAGCTAAAATTTTTCAGCTTGCCTAGGCTAGGACATTCTATTCCATCAGAATGAAAAAGCAAGATCTAGCCTGTGATTCTAAATAGTATTTGTCAGACCAGATTCTACCAAAGCAATTTCTTTATTGCTAATCCCAGGTCCAACTGCTATTACTCTCACTTCTATTTACTCAGTAGTTATGGGCACAGAGATCTAGAGAGTCCAAAGTCCTGGACAAAACCACTTTACGTCTCTCTTCCATGACCCTTGACTCCAGTCAGCCATCTTGAAAATCTGTGTTGTCCCAACCACTGGGGGAGGCATGTGTGTGCTGATCCTGGAAACCACACTGAGGAGAGGGTGACCCAACACACTGCACTGGTGAATTCAAAAGAAGGCTTTGGTTCCAAATATGCTCTTTCCTCACTACAATACTTGGGATCACTGGATTCTCACATACCTTGAGGATTTAACTGCGAACAGTCTACTTCTCCAATGTAGGAAAAGACAAAATTGCACATAATATTTACTGTGTATAAGACACAGAGAAGGTTAAAGCATTAAGATTGTTTATACCATTTTCTCCTTCTATAGATAAAAGCTGAAGCTGATTAGGCAGGAAGGTAAAATAGTTTAAAGCACCTACCACCAGCTTCATGAAGAGCAAGACTCACTGTTCCTAGTATTTTCATGATTAAGATGATCAATTTTTGCATAGTTCTTATATACAATTCTATAAAATCTTATACTTACACACATAGCATACAAACAGATGAAACAGCTATGTCATGGTTGCCACATAAGCACTTGGAAAGACCTGCACTATTAACTGGACTTCACAAGAGTGGGCTAGAAGTGGGTAATCGTTCCTCCCGAAACTTACAACACCCGGATCCCACTGTCTCAAAAGGCCTACACTGCGGCTGGGAGGGGAGGGGGATGTTGCAAGTTAACAAAGAGAAGCAAAGAATAAAAGACAAAATATAGGGCAGAAGCAGAACTCTTAAGTTACTCTGCTCCCAGAAGAGAGAAACCAAGTATGATGGTCAAGAAACACTTCCGTTGAACTCCTTGAACTACTTTCCTCTTCCCAAGACTGAGGTTTTGCTAATTCATCTTGAACCGAGAACGAGTCTACCTCCAGGATGGGAAGAAGGGGAGGCCCACAAAACACGGAGCACCAAGCATGGAACCTCATCGTCTGATTCCGATCTCCATCCCTCAGGCCAGAAGGGACTGGACCTAGATCTTCAGGTCTTAGATTTCTGACTGCTCATCACAGGTTCCCATGGCAACGGTTCATTCCAGCCGCGGTCCTGGAAGGTCCTGGGACGCCTGGCGCTGGGCAGGCCCAAGCGAGCCGGCCGTGAGGCTCCGGGTAGACGTGCGCACTCCCCTCGCGGGATCGCCCCAGTGCTTTGCAACGGGGGGCACAGGCATTGTTACCCTCCCGTCACCGGCCACCAAACCGAGGCTCCCGCCACCAAGTGGGCGGACCCCAGCCCCGCATCCCGACCCCACCCCCCCTAGCCGGTGGGCATCCGCCGGCGCGCGCCCTCCCGGTTCCTGCCAGCCCCTCTGCGGAGCCTCCGTGACCCATCGGGGACCCCGGAGCCGCGGCCCTCGCTCACCGGCCGGGGGCTCGCGCAGGCTCAGGCGCACATTCAAGTACTCCACCTCCGAGGCGGCGGCCGGGGATGCGGCGCCAGGGCTCGGGCCCCAGGCGGCAGTGGCTCGGCCGTGGGCCTCCAGGCGCAGCGCGCGCAGGGCCACCGGCTCGGCCGCCTCCAGCAGCACGTGTCCCGCCACCGTCTCGCCGCTCGAGTAGCAGCCCTTGCGCTCATCCTCGAACACCAGACCCAAGCTCTTCACGCGGCCCTCGGAGCCCACGGCCGCCGCGGACCCCGCCTCGCCGCCCATCCCGCCGGGCGATGGGGACGCGCCAGGGAGATCGGCAGCTGCACGGAGCCGGCCTGGCGAGCGGAGGGGCGCCGCTGTCACGGGCGCCCGCCGCACGCTGAGGGCCGCTGCGGCCGCTGTGCGGTACCGGGTGAAGCCCTGGCGCGCCGCGGGGCCTATCGCTTTAACAAACCCCGGTGGGCCTGGACAGGGGCCGGGACAGCCCACCCCCGGCGCGCGCCCATAGGCCGGCTGTGAGTCCCGCCTCGTGCCGATTGGTTGTAAATGGCTACTGAGTCATTTCATAGGCGCTCCCACGCACCGGATGGCGCAGGTAGGCAGTGCGTGATCAGACAGCAGTGACCAATCGGGGTACGCAGGCGTACACGTGCACAGGCCGCTTATTGGCTGGAACAAGGCACAGTCCTGGGGCACTGACCAATAGTGAGGCGGTGCGCCCATGTGGACAGATAGTGGGAAACAATATTTGTTAGGGAGGGGGTGGAACCCGGAATCTTGGGCTCGCGGAGTGTCAGCCGTTCCCATGGTTACTAACGGGGGCGGGGTTTCTGGCGGCGTGGGGCCTGTTTGCAGAAGTCTCTGGGTTCTCACTGGTATATACGGTTGTGACTACAACTGGCTCGTATTTATGATTTAATCTGCAGTACTTTTGGGGAAATACATACCCTGGAAAATGGAACTCAGCAATAATTCTGTGAGTTTTGGGTGGGTGGCCAGCTGTCTGGAAGCTTTCATGGATAACTTGGTAACTACCAACTTCCAGGTTCCCAAGCCCCGCCTCTCTAAGGTCTCGCCTGAGAGAGAACCACAGCCTGAGAAAGAACCACAGACTGGAAGGATGAACGCTCTGATTCTCAACCTGGCACAACACCCAAGGAGTTCTGCTGGGCTCACAGGTTTTCTAAGCTGGTATTCGAATAGCCTAGAACACTGATTCTTCCTGTTGTAAACAAGGTCATGAATCAGGTTGTTTCAAAACAGTGTGTACTCCCCAAGTTTCTGCTCCACCCGAAAGGATTTCCTGACCTCCTTGTCATAGTTCAGGACGACTTGGAGTTGCCTTCAGGACTTGTTCTCCACGCCCATGCTCCTTTTGCCTACCCTCATTTTCATTTTGTTCCTTAATATTCCATTCCTTCTCAACTCTTTTTCCCCCCTCCCCTACCATCTAGCATAGCTGACGTTATCTGGCCATTTTCTAACCCTTTTAAGTTCTTCCCTTACCTAATTTCCAAGTTAGTGAGGTGTTATCACAGATGGATTGAAATTTTAAAACTTTCCTGAAGTAGGTATTTCCTTTTTTTTTTTTTTTCCAAAGATCCCAAATGAAAGGTTTCTTTGTTGCCGCCTTTGAATTTAAATTATTAACGTGAAACTTTACTGAAGCTTTACAACTTCGAAGTGTCTTTATCACTTCTGAAAGAAAGTGGAAAGGTTTACAAATCTCTGCATAGTTCTGAGATAGCTGTTAGTTTCTCACGACTTCAGAAGAGTTCCCAACATGCTATTACTCGTCCACTTTTCTTTCTAACACAACCTCACCTTCTATTCTTATTTGCGTAGTATTCATCACTGCCATTTGAAGCACGGAACATGTTCTCACTGTTGTACCTGTAGTACCTAACGGAGTTTGGGAGAAAATCAGCACTCAATAATGTTGACTTGCTTGAGTGAAAGAATCCCAACCCAATTATTATATTTCTTTGTAATAAATGAATAGTACTCTGCCTTTTACTCTACCGTATCTTCATCTTCTCTAGACAGATGTTCTCTGTCTTCTCCCTCCATTCCTTCCAAATTAGGTGGCTGAGAAAGGGGAAAGGGTAGTGACTCTAACCATGCCCAAAAGGCAGAAATGCACATATGGCAGACAGTCTGTGCTGAGAAAGATTGGGCTGTCTTTGCTACTACAGGTAGAATGCATGGCCAAACGTTGGCTTAAGCAATAAGTATACTTCTTGTTTACTTAACCAGAAGTCCAACAGCATGTGCTGTCAGGGTTGGTTCAATGGACTCCTTATCTTCCTCCACTGTCATACTCTGCTCCCTTCCTAGTGGCAGTGGTTACCATAGCTCTAAATATTCCAAAGCAGAATTTACAAAATAAAGCAAGAGAGTCCATGCTCACAAAGAAAAAAAAAAAAGTGGATTTTCTTTTCTTTTTTTCTTCTCTCCTTTTGAAAAGAAAATACATTGCCTAGATGCCCCCAATAGGCTTCTTACATGGTGTTGGCCAAAATGGACTCATCTGTGCACCATAGGTCATTAACTGGCAAAAAGAAATGAGATTATTGCAATTTGCTCAGACCAGTGATTTTTCTCTGGGGGCTAAACAAAATCAGAGCTCTGTTAGCAGATGGCTGTTGTGTGGTCAATCTAGAGCGGTTTAACTGACTTCAGCGGGCCTGGCCATGTGTGCTGTAGAGAAGAGCTGTCTCAGCCAAACCTTAAAAAATGAGGATTTTAAAACAAAACCTATTCTATGACTAGGTGGATTTTATTTATCTGGTGATTTAATTTACCTGGTGCCCCCCCCTCATTTACAGATAAAATTCTGTTTTTATGGTACATACATTATTATGGCTATTGGAGTTCTGCTAGCTTTAAGATAGCAGCATACAGCATATTAAAAAATAAAAAATCCAGTCTGACAGTCTCCATCATTAATTGATGTATTTAGACCAGTTACATACAATGCAATCTTCGATATGGCTGGTTTTAGGTGTATCATTTTATTATTTGCTTGATTTGTGCCTCTGTGGTATGTGTGTGTGTTTCTCTGCTCCGCCTTTCTTGCTTTCTTCTTAATGATTTGAACATCTTTGAGTAACCCATTTAAATCTATCAATTTTCAGACTCTATCTCTTCGTAGTATATTTTAAGCATATTCTCTAGGAATTGGTGTTCCCCCTTTATGTCATAGTGAGTATGTATATTACATCCACGGATATCAATAACTCCATGAGACACTGTTTACATTTTTGCTTCTGATAGTTATACAGATTGTAAAAAACACAACAGAAAAAGGCTCTATTATAATTACCCATGTATTTTTCATTTTTGTTTTTCTCTTTGTTTATTCTGAAGTTCTGAGTTCCCTCGAGAACATTCTAGATTGAAGAATTTTCTTTGACATTTGTTTTAGAAGAGGCCTGCTGACAATGAATTCACTTAGTTCTTCTTCTGAGAATGTTTTCATTTTGATGTCATTACTCAAGGATATGTGTGCTGCATACAGAATCCTGAGTTGGAAGTTCTTTTCTCTTCAGACTTGACAGATGTTGTTCCATTGTCTTCTGAGAACTTTGGTTTCTGGTAAGAAACCAAGCAGTCCTTCAAACTTCTGTTTCCATTTATGTTATTTTTTTTTTCTGTTTGATTTCTTTCTCTGCTTCTTTGGAGACTTAAATATGAATATTAGATCTTTTTGAAACTGTCTCATAGGAACTTGAGAGTCTCAGTTTTTCACTCTTTTTCTTTTCTCTCTCTGTTGGAGAAATTGGGTAAGTTTTATTGGTCTCTTTGCAAGTTCATGGACTCTTTTCTCTGTGTTATTCAGATCCTCCAGTGAATTTTTTCGTTCAGATATTTTCTTTTTCAGTTCTAAAATACTCATTTAAAAAATAGTTTATTTCCCTGATAAGAACACCTATCTTTCCATTCATAAAGAGTGTCTATCTTTATCTCTTTGAACATGGCTTTAATAATTGTTTAAAGATCTTCGAAAAAATTAATTTCTGGGTAATCTTGAGCTTGACGTCTGACTATCTCATCCTTGGAGCATCAGTCACACTTTCCAGTTTTTATTATGTTTAGGAATTTTAGATTATATCCTAGACATTTTGAATATTATGATATATTAAAATCCTCTGGAGAATGTCAACTATTTTCATTCAACAGGCAATGAACCTGGGTATCTTCAGACTGTTCCAGACACACCTTATGTGGGCTGTGGTTCCAATGTCAACTCAGTTCCAAATCCTTTGCTCTTTGGCACTGGGTCTTTTCTCCATGTGAGCAGCTCAGAATGAGCCCAGGACTTCTGTCAGTTCATACACAGAATTAAGGGATACTCTTGTCCATTTCTTTCCTCTCCATTATTTGCCCCATTTTCTGTGGCTTCCAGGGACCCCTTTCTCCAATCCCCTGAATAGAAATTTGCTGATTCTCTAAAAGTTTAAGCCACATATGCTACTAAGTAGTTTTGTACAATCAGGATTACTCTCAAGGCAAAGTAGCAAGGGAAAAGAGAGAAAGAGATGGGGATTTCCCAGAAAGACAAGTTTTCTTCTTAGGTTTTAGGTAATGCCAATATAACACCTCATTGTAGCTCCAGGAGGAGAGCCATTTTTAGGGCAGGGCAGAATTTCCAGTAAGTGATGTAGATTCTCTTTCTACTCCCTTTGATTTTGCACCAGATTTAGTGATTTGCTTCCAATCCAGAAAACACTTTTTTAGCCAGACTGACATAATCAGTGATACGTTATGTTTATAGCATCTTCCTCTGATAGGACGTCATGAAAACAGCACATCACTCCCTTTGGTATTCTTTACTCAAACCCGTAACTCCAATCTAAGCAGAAGAAAAAGATCAGGCAAACATACAAGGACATTCGACAAAACACCTGATCCTCAAAACTCTCAAGACCATAAAAACCAGAAAAGACCGAGAAACTCCTAGACACAAGACTAAATGCAATAGGGTACCCAAGATTATCCCAGGACAGAAAATGACATTCGTGCAAAAACGAGTGAATCCAAATGAAGTCTGGAGTTTGGTGAAAATAATGTACACATCATGATAAGTGATAACTGTACCAATGAACACTTTCTTCATTTTAAAAAGTGGACCATGGTATTATAAGATGATAACAATAGGGTAAAGTGAGTGAGGGGTGCATGGGTACATTAGACGATCTTTGCAGACTTTCCGTAAGTTTAAAATTATTCCAAAATAGCAACTGGGAATTTTTTTTCCCATAGTCTCCTGCTTGTAGGAATACTTGATCTTGGTTCAGTGACTGAAAGATAGGGGAGCCC